TCAGTGTGGGATGGTCTACAGCACACTAGGCAATTTTGACATGAATGCTTCTCAAGGGGATACACTCTAGGATTTATTTCTACTTTCAGTTTTAAACATATGACAGCCTCAAACTAAAAACTGTAGATTTTGAAATCCTGGTATTGAGAACACACAGATTCTAGTGTGCATTTTTAGTGTTACAACTCTAACAACACACCTGGAAAACCAGGACACAATGTATTTTTTCAGATACCACACACAGATGCTTTTATCTACACATGGTGTCTGATAAGCCACATTGTTAAACACACAGATCAAAAGATGTTTAACAAGTGTCAAAGCATTTCCAGAATGTGATTCCCTCCTGGGAAATCCACCTATAAAATCTGGAATGGAAGAAGTTCCTCCTGTCTGTCCTGATGCCTGGTAATGCCACCAGCAGTGCACGACCCTGGGACCATGGAACACCCTCAGTCTGCAGCAGAACCACCAGCTCAGGGCAGAGCAGGGCCAGCCCCTGTCTCAGACATCCAGACAGGTTTAATTGCCAGCCCAGGAGCAGAGGGACAGCCAGGGGAGGTGAGCTGAGAGCCCTCTGAGGCCTTTAGCAGCACCTACCCAGTCAAGGGAATCCGTGTTGAGGGTGTAGTTGGTGTCCTTCCAGTCAGTTTCTCCAGTGGGCTGGAAGCTGACCTCTCTAATTGTGAAAATATCACTTTCTTCCTCTCCTTCATGTCCAATCTGAGGCAGGAAAACAAATGCAAGGCATGCAATTAGCTGCAATTAGTGGGCTCGCTCAGCCAGCTCATCCCCAGGCTGGGAATACCTCAGGAAAAGCCCCAAGGCCAGACAAGCTGTGCCTCTCCCCTCTCACCCTGCCTGTGAGGACAAGCACAGACAGGCACAGAACTCAGGAAATCCTCTCAGCTTGTGCAGCCATGGAAATCAGCAGCCTGAATTTTACAAATATATAAAAACTTCTGTGTGGTTCTAAACATGTCTTCCCATGTCTGTCTCATCTTTGTCAGCCAAGACTGGCTGTTAAACATCTCCTAACATTTACAAAATAAACCACAAATACCAGTGCGAGCAAAAGCTCTCCATTTTATTTTCTCCCCTCCTTTTTTAATCCCTACTTTCTACTGTAATTCAATAAAGAGCCCAGTAAGCTGACCAGAAACACCAGGGCAGGATGTGAGGAATGCCATAAACATTTCCTCCCCACTATTCTTGCAAACATAAAGCCTTTTTTGTGATTAGGGGAGACTGGATACTGTGCTGACTCAAAAAAGCAAGAGATTATAAAGAGCAGTTAAATCCAAGAGGGGCACAGTGATACTCACCTCATCTTCAGGGAAATGGCAGTCAAGCACAAGGGTCTGTTTTGTATCATCTTTTATTACTTCCACAACAAAGTTTGGAGTTGATGTAAGTTCAGGCTAAATAAGAGAACAGTTGCATCAGCTCTGGCATCTGAACAGGAGCCAAGGCAATCACAGCACAGCCCAGCCCAGCCAGCAGTGGGTATTCCCTGACACCTTCCACTATCCCAGGCTGATCCAAGCCCTATCCAGCCTAATCATCCATCCCTAAACCTCCAGGGATGGGGCAGCCACAGCCTCCCTGTGCCAGGGCCTCCTCACAGGGAACAATTTCTCCCAATACCCAGTTTAGCCCCACTCCCTGTCAGTTAAAAGCCAACCCCCCTTAATCTGTCACTCCTTCCCTTGTACAAAGCTTCCCTCTCCCACTCTCCTGTAGACCCTTTTGGAAGGTGCTAGAAAGCCTCAGAATTCCTCTAATTTCTCCTCTAACTTCTCCTTATTTCTCCTTTAATTTCTCCTTATCTCTGCCTTTCTGCAGCAGAGAGGAAGATCACAGCCAGGGGACAGGCAGCCCTGGAAAATCTGAATTTTATGACTTAATGCTCCCAAATATCACATAAGGGGGAGAAAAAGCCTCAACACTTGAGGACAAGGCTCCAACTTTCATGTGTCCCCAGCATTAAGTGCACATCAAGGCTGTTACCTCCTGCTCATCAGGTTTCTGCTGCTCCTGTGTGTCCTCTTCAGCCGAGGGTGGGATGCTGTTATTGATGTTGAATGTAACCGTTATCCTGCACAAGAAACAGAAACAGTTCTTTTGAACACACCCAAAAATTGCCCATCAGAACGGGTCTCCTGAGCCCTCCTTCAGGATTCACACAGTGTGAACAAAACCAGGCCCTGCAGTTAAAAGAAACGCCTGGGAGAAGCTGCTCCCTCCAAGTGCTCCCACTTTTTTGGTAAAACTCCCACCCATGATAGGGCATTTTTTCCTTAACTCGCTTTTATTTCTATTAAGGGTTTTGAATAAGGATGCCCCCAAGGAACTGCTCTCTGATCTGGGCAGGGTAAAGAACACTGGCCTGATAATTCCTAAAGTGTATGAGCCCTCCCATTCTTGAGGTAATTCACTGTAGGCTTTTCTCCCACATATCCAATAAATACCATCAGGGGCTTTCCATTTTATTTTTGTATTTCCTGGGTCATTCCAATACCCTCTCAATTCTACCAGGGACTGGTAAGGGTTAACTCCAGAGCCTTTATTCCAGCAAAGTTCAATTCTGTCACTCCATTCACAGTTCGTTTCTTTTTCCTGACTCCCAATACCTGGCAGGAGGTTCTGGTTGCCAGATCCTGCTCTTATCATTTGAGCTTTACCAAACTGTTATTTTTAAAACAGGAAGACCACGTGAAACTTTGTAACACAAAACACAGTAACAAACTCGTGTGAAAAAAAGCGCCTTTGGGCCAAAAGTGGTCACAAAAAGAGCCTTGGCAGGGTGCACTTTGGGCTGGGAGCACGTGGAGAAGCCTGGTCACTGCGACCCACCCACCCTCCCTCGGTGCTGGGGACCCTTCCCAGACCCCACTCACTTTTCCCCCGCGATCTTCCGCACCAGCTTGGCCTCCGTGCCGTGCACCTCCAGCTCCCACCCCCCGGAGACCTTGGGCAGGGACTTGTGCTTCTGGATCTTCTTCTCCTCCTTGATCTCGTCCGTCAGGAACTGCGCAAAGGCTTTGTCCCCTGGCGGGAAAGAAAATGGGGTTAGGGAAAGGGAGGGTTATAGAGAGGGGGGAATGAAGGAAAGGGTGGGGGGGTGAGTTCAGGGATAAGGGGTGTTGGTAAAAGAGATGCTGGAAACGGGGTTAGGAAAAGGGGGTTTAGGGAAAGGGAGGGTAAGGAAGGAGGGGTGTAAGAAAAGGGAAGGTTAAGGAAAAGAGGAGTGGAGTTAAGGGAAGGGTAGGTAGGAAAAGGGGGTTTGGGAAAATGGGGGTTTGGGGAAAAAAAAGGGGGTTAGGGAACGGAGGGTTGGGGGAAAAGGAGTTGGGAAAAACGAGGTTAGGGAAGGGTCAGTAGGGAAAAAGGAGGTGGCGAAGGGGGCGTACAGGAAAAGCGGGCCTAGGCAGTGACAGAATTTAGGGAAAACCGGGATTACGCGGAGTTGCCCTAGGGAAAGAAGGGCAGCAGGGAGAGCCCCCCCGCCCCACGTGCTTCCCAGCACGGAGGGGGTGCAGAGCACGTGTCCGCCCCGCGCCCTCCCGAGGGCGGCCCCGCTCCGTCCCCGCTCACCCTCGGTGTGCAGACCGCCGCAGCCGCAGGACACGCGGCCGGCCGAGCCCCGCCGCGGCCGCAGCAGCGCCGTGCGCCCCGTCTGTCTC